GAGCTGAGATTGCACCACTGCACTCCAGCCTGGGCAACAAAGCGAGACTCTGTCTCAAAAACAATAAAATAAAATAAAATAAATATATATAGAGAACTGAAAATCTGTAAAGAGACTTAAGGGACATATCCAAATGTGGTATGTGGGTTTATTTGAACCCTGATTCAAACAACTATAAAAAAATAACCACAATACAGGAACATTTATCAAGGAAATGTAAACACCAAGTGGATATTGTCAATATTTAAAGATTTATCGTTAATTTTGTAAGCTGCGATAATGGAATTGTGGTTATGTTTTTAAAAAGGGTATATGGGAGAGAGTCCTTATATTTTAGAAACATATTCTTTTTTTTTTTTTTTTTTTTTAAAGATGGGGTTTCACCATGATGGCCAGGCTGGTCTTGAACTCCTAACCTCAGGTGATCCACCCACCTCGGCCTCCCAAAGTTCTAGGATTACAGGCGTCAGCCACCATGCCCGGCCTAGAAACATATTCTCATGATACACTGCTACAGTAATGGGTAATGGCCCCCAGTGGGTTACTTCTCATTTCTTTGCCCTTGTATTTCTCCTTCCCACATTAATACTGGGCTTGGTTGCGTGACTTGTTTTGGCTAATGGGACATTCGCAAACATGATGCAGGCAGAGACTTGAACAGTGCTTGCACATTGGGGCTTGCCCTCTCTTGGAAAGTTGCCACCATGAAAGCATGCTGAAGCTAGCCTGCTGGAGAGGACATGTGGAGAACTGAGGCACCTTAGCCAACTACCAGACATGTGAGTGGGGCCATCAAAGACTGTCCAGCTCCAACCAAGTCACCAGGTGACTGGCGAGAGCCCAGACAAAACCAACAGAAGAACCATCCAGCTGATCCCAGTCCAAATTGCTGAACCACAGAATTACAATCTAATAAAAGATTGCTATTCCAAGCCATTAGACAAAGGCACTAGATAAGAAATGTAATCCTGTAATATGTACTGATGAAACTACAGATGCCTGGGGATTTGCTTCAAATAAAGCCAGGGGTGGAGTAAGGGCAAATACACACGAAACAAGATGGATTATATGCTGATAATTGTTGAAACTGGTGAGGAACACGTGAGAGCTAATTTTACTACTCTCTCTGCCTTTGGTTTTGTTTGAGAGGAAAAATTTCCATAATAAAAAGATAAAAAGAGGCCAGCCTTGGTGGCTCAAGCCTGTAAAACCCAGCACTTTAGGAGGCTGAGGTGGTGGATCACAAGGTCAAGAAATTGAGACCATCCTGGCCAACATGGTGAAACCCCCCGTCTCTACTAAAAATACAAAAATTAGCTGGGCGTGGTGACACACATGTGTAATCCCAGCTACTTGGGAGGCTGAGGCAGGAGAATCACTTGAACCCAGGAGGCAGAGGTTGTACTGAGCCGAGATGGCACCACTGCACTCCAGCCTGGTAGCAGAGCAAGACTCTGTCTCAAAAAGAAAAAACAATATAAAAGAGGCCAAGTGTGGTGGCTCATGCCTGTGCTTAGCACTTTGGGAGGCCAAGGCAGGCAGATCACTTGAGGGCAGGAGTTTGAGACCAGCCTGGCCAATATGGCAAAATGTGGAGACAGCTCTACTAAAAATACAAAAAATTAGCCAGGCATGGTGGTGCACGCCTATAGTACCAGCTACTCGAGTGGCTGAGTTGGAAAGATCGCTTGAGCCCTGGAGGTTGAGGCTGCAGTGAGCTGTGATCACACCACTGTACTCCAGCCTGGGTGACAGAGAAAGATCTTGTCAAGAAAGAGAAAGAAATGAAAAGAAAAAAAGAAAAGAAAAGGAAGAGGGGAGAGAAAGGGAAGAGGAATTACTCTTCTGTCTACTAACAGATAAAGCAATCGAAACCCAAAGGAAATCAAGTTCTACGATGTAACACAGCCAAGTCATAGCAGAGTTCATGGCTGAGCTAGAGATTCCCTGGCCCCTGGGCCACGCCCTTTCTATCCTCCCATGTGCTCAGAGGCAGGAAAGCTCCAAAAGAAAAGCAACACGAGTAGGAATAATTTTTTCTGTTGCTTGAGAATAGCCTGGTACAATGAGACCTTTGATGACAAATGATTGTCATTTGTGGGATATACTGTTTATCTCCTGTTTGGGGAAGAAATATTTGTTCTGCCATGTATGTGCATTACATTACATCAAAGACAGGCAGGGAATCCCTCCCTCCCACACCCTGCCCCATTTGGCACCAAACGCATGTTCTGTTTTCTTTTTTTTTTTTTTTTTTGAGACGGAGTTTCGCTCTTGTTGCCCAGGCTGGAGTGCAATGGCG